AAAATAAATTAACGCAAACCTGTTTTTAATAATCCAATAATCTCCATAAGTCCTATGTGTCCCATAACCGACAACCAGTACAGCATGATCAGGATTATTACAACCTGGTCTAGCGTAAATACCTGCAACATTAGAAACTGAAAAATGAAAAAGCAAAATATAATTATGCAAATTAAGATCGGTGAATTTCAAATCAAATATACTACTGTACTGCTCACAAAAAATGAACTTTATGATAGTTGAATGATGATGATTTCAATTATCATCATTAGCTGCTTATTTATTTTCTAACTTGCAATTCATCATCTCCAATTCATTGTAATATACCGGATTTATAAAATTGGAAAGTATGATGATATCCGGGAATTCCAACAGTAACAGGTCCATATTTGGCCACTGCACGTTGAAGTGCCAATTCATTGCCCGATTCTACTTCCATATAGCCCTTATCTCTAGCGACTGCTATTTGCTGTTTCCATTGACATCTCTGCAAAACTCCAACGTACGGATAGTTCGATTCCTTTGCAATTCCATATTTCATTGCATATTTAAAAGTCTGAAAATTCACTCTTAAAGGTATTAAAATGAAACCAAGAAATTAAAACTTATTTAAAAAAAACTCTTCAACAAATTTATAAGATGAAGTTGAAAAATGAACCAATGGCATGAAACCACCGTCACATCCATAATTACCATATCCCGTTGTGCAGTCAACAATATTTTGCGGTGATAAATTGATAAGTTTTCTAGACTTCATCTTATGATAACTTTCTAATGCAGCAGCTGTTGCAAATGCATAGCAACTACCACATTGTCCCTGTAAAATTATTTATCAATTATTGATTTTATCGATCACACTACACCTTTAATAAATAATTTATTCATTTAGAATGTATTTAAATGCAACATACAAATTCGAATTAAAAGTTGGTGAAAATCAAAACTTTATAAATAATTCAGTATAAATTCATCAGCAAGAAGTTTGCCAACAAGTTATACTTGATTTTTGATAGGTGTAACGAAGCCTTTCTTCCTCCAATCAACTGATTTTGGTAATCTTCGATTTTTTTCAAATTGATATGTCTTACTC